TGCTGAAAAACTTTTAATTATTACTTAAGTAGCATTACTTATTATTCTGTTCAGGTTTTAGATTTTTTCATGGTTCAATCTTAGTAGGTTTTAGACTTCTAGGAATATATTCATCTCGCATAGGTTTTCCAATTTATTGGTATATAGTTACTCATTGTAGCCTCTGATGATCCTTTGAATTTCTGCAGTATTGGTGACTAAGTCACAAGTCAAAGTTCTTCTCACTCTTCTCCATCCCACAAACAGGTTATGGAAGAGTGGTAGTGGTCTCTCCTCATGATCACTACTACCCCAGGCCCATGACAAGCACTGCCATAATACCGGTGTTCACTCAGGGTCCAACAGCTCTTCAGTCAGCCTCTCGTGAATGCTGCCAGGCCTGGGACTCTCACTTCAGGACAGTGGGCTTGTCTCTGACTCAGGGCACATCCAGGAATATCATCCAAGAGCCAGGGCTTAGAATCGGGGACCCCCGAGAGTCCACTTGATGTTCTACCTGACTGTGGCCGAGCCTGGTACCTAAACTGCAAGACAAAGTTCCTTTTACTCTTCCTTCTCCTCTTCTCAGGCAGGAGTTTCTCCCTGTAGCCGGCACAGCTGGGAATGTGCTGAGTCATACCTGAAGCCAGCACATCTCAGAGTCTCACTGAAGGCTCATGGGCAAGTATTGCCTGAGTACTGCTGCTGATTATTCAAGGCCCAAGGGCTCTTTAGTCAGCTGGTAATTAATTCTGCCCAGGACTGCGTCCTTTTCTTCAAGGCAGTGGGTTCCCTTTGGTTGAAGGTATGTCTAGAAATGTTGTCTGGAAGTTAGGGCCTGGAATGGGAACTCAGGGCAGGACTCTGCCTGGTCCTCAGTTCTACTGTGGCTAAGCTGATATCCAAGTTGCAAAAAGTCCCCTTTACTCTCCCCTCTCCTCTCCTCAAGCAGAAGAAATGAGTTCTTTTTGAGCTGGGAGCTGTGCCTGCCTGGGTTTGGGGAAGGGGTGGCACAGGCACTCTCTTGGCCACCCTGTGGCATACACTAGATTGCATGCCCCGAAGTCCACGGACACCAAGCACTGCACAGCACCAGCACTTACCCAATAATTGCAGTCCCTGTGGGCTAAACTGCTTTTCAGGTTTATTAAGGACCCGAAAGCACTTTAGACCGTGGTGGTCAGGCTTGCCAGAACTTAAGTCTGACCACTGGGATGGGTGATTCCCCTTTGGCTGGGGTTGGTCTAAATGCTCCCTCCATATGTGGGCACTGGCTGAGCTCTGCTTGGTGTTGCTTTCTGCTGTGACAGGACAGCACTGAGTTTGTTCCAATGCAAAGTCCCACAATCACTGCACTCTCCTTCCTACAAGTGCACACATTCTCTCTTTCTTGGTGCCATGCAGCTCTTGCTGTGGATTGGGGGAGGGGCAGCGTTGATGATTCAAGACTGTCTTTCCTACCCTTTTCAGCGCTTTTTCAGTGATCTGAAATTAAAAGCAGGTATTAGGATTGCTCATATGATTTTTAGCTCTTATGAAGGTGCTTTTTTGTGTGGAAATTTGTTCAGGTTGGTGTTCCTGCAGAAAGAACAGTTGGTGGAGGCTTCTATTTGGCCATCTTGCTCCATCTTTCCCACAAAAAATCATTTTAAAATTAAAAATAATGAACTCAGATATGAGTTTAATTAGTACTCCAGGTGTTTCTAAAACTGTACTTCACTTACAGAGCCCATTTTGAATGGATGCTTTTATTCTAGGGATCCTGAAGGCAAAGGTGAACATCAAACCTTGGTTTCTTCCAGTAAAAAACATTTGGGGACCATGGCAATATAGGACCATTAAGCAGAGAAATGGAATTGTGGACCAGGTAGAAAGATGAGGGCGTGGAAATGATTTTGACACATTGAGAGATGCTAGGTAGTCAGGAGCACTGACTCCACAAGGCATGTCAGGCTCTGGCAATTGTTTGGTTGTCCCATTTGGAAAGAAACTTAATCATTGTAATACATAGATGTTAAACTGCTTATCTAGAGAGATGAGGCCAAGAATGAAGGAGAAAGATGCTGATTAACAGGCAGAAGAATGCCAAAGTGAAATGGCTATTTCGCTTTTCAAGGACCACCTTTACCTTCAAGACAACATCCTACAAGTAAATACATAAATTCGCCGATGTTTCTGGGTTTTCAGCCCTTTAACTGTAATATTATTTTTAACAGAATGCTCACCTAGTCATTTCAAGTGCCACTCAGGACGGTGTGTTCTGGCTTCCAGAAGATGTGATGGCCAGGCCGACTGTGACGATGACAGTGATGAGGAAAACTGTGGTATGTATGTGCAATGGTACTTTTCTTGAATGTACAGTAATGACTAGAATAGAATAAGAAACTCTGTTAAAAATGTAAACTATTCACCGATAGTAGGACTAGGATTGAATGCTAATGCCTTTACTTCTTAAATTGTTGAACAGTATGGCATATATTTAAGTGTTTTTCCTAATTCTTGATTTCCTCTAAATTACACTTCCATATAATCCTGATATGTACAGTACCGTCCCCCTTATCCGTACAGATACGTTTCAAGACCCCCAGTGGATGCCTGAAACCATAGATTGTATGGAACTCCATATATGTAGTACTATCCTTTTTCCTACACATATGTACTTAATGATAGAGTTAAATGTATAAATTATGTGCAGTGAGAGATTAACAATAACTAATAATAAAATGGATCAATTATAACAATATATGGAAATAAAAGTAATGTGAATGTTGTTTCTCTCTCTCTCAAATACCTTATTGTACTGTGCCAACCTTTTTGAACCATGCTTAACCAGGGGTAACTGGAACTGTGGAAACTGAAACTGCAGATAGGGGTGGAGGGGGACTCCTATATTTGCAAACACTTAGTAAAAGGAGAAGCAACTCATAAATGTAAGGAATTATTTTTATTATTAAATTATAAGGCAATTGTTATCTGTTCTAAAGCCAAAATAGTAGTTCTTTTGCTTATGCTTCCCGTGTTACTAAATAGACATCTAGATACATGAAGACAGAGTTCAGACTCCAGCATTCTCAGTTTAATTGGAATTCATTCTTATGTCCTCTCATATATTTTCCATGTTGGCAAAGGATAAAACTCTTCTTGACATTTCTGCCATCGAGTTCCAAAATCACCAATGGAAAAACCATAAATTCCAATGGTAATTTGAGTGGAGTTCATTCTCATTTTATTTCCCTACAAATCTCTGTACTTGTATTAGGGAACAGATGTCAGACTATGGTCTTTAATACACAATATTTTAGAGGAAAGCAAAATGATTGAAGATCTATCCACAGAATGGTTTGGTTATGATTATTTAGCATTTCCTGTCTAAGAAGAATTGATACTGTTTCATGAAAACATATATGGCAGTAAAGCTTTTGAAATCATTTCATTCTTTTGGCCTTTGAAGTATGAAATATTGCCTTGCTCCATTAAGTGAATTTTCTGTGGTAAACATTGCCCTTCTGGTCTAGACAAAATGTCACAAGCAATCAACTGAAATCCTGTCAGCTCCTATAAATATGGACAAGTGCATCTTCTGGAAAACTCCAGCTGTCAGAATGATGGTACAATGGCTGGGTAATTTTGTTGTGGAGGAATGTACAGTGTTTTGAGAAGCTACTATTGTTTGCTTGTTTGTGGTTTTTTTTTTTAAGAAATAAATCAAAACTCATTGAATATCCCTTAATAAGTGGTTTATTGAGAATGTATTAGTTTTGTTCACTTAACTATGACTTTGATGGGTCATAGTATTTTGAGATGCAATTTAAAATAGATTATCTTAGATGGTTCAAAGAGGTTGCATGATACATTTTTGGGATGGCTAGACCTAAATTTGCAGTAGGGGACTAAATATTTGAGAAATACAAAAGCTTAGTTAAAAAACACACACACACACACACACACAGCCTTACCAAGACAAAAAATTCTAAGTTCTAGAATATATTCTCCAAAAAAGAAACTTTTTTTCCCCATTTATTTATTTTATTGCATTTTAGGTTTTGGGGTACATGTGAAGAACATGCAGGATTGTTGCATAGGTACACACGTGGCAGTGTGATTTGCTGCCTTCCTCCCCATCACCTACATCTGGCATTTCTCCCCTTGCTATCTCTCCCCAGCTTCCCACCCCCCACCGTCCCTCCCCTATTTCCCCCCAACTGACCCCAGTGTGTAGTGCTCCCCTCCCTGTGTCCATGTGCTCTCATTGTTCAACACCCGCCTATGAGTGAGAACATGCGGTGTTTGATCTTCTGCTCTTCTGTCAGTTTGCTGAGAATGAAGGTTTCCAGGTTCATCCATGTCTCTACAAAGGACCCAAACTCATCGTTTTTGATGGCTGCATAATATTCCACAGTGTATATGTGCCTCATTTTCCCTATCCAGTCTATCGTCGATGGGCATTTGGGTTGGTTCCAGGTATTTGCTATTGTAAACAGTGCTACAATGAACATTCGTGTGCACGTGTCCTTATAGTAGAACGATTTGTAATCCTTTGGATATATACCCAGTAATGGGATTGCTGGATCAAATGGAATTTCTATTTCTAGGTCATTGAGGAATCGCCACACTGTCTTCCACAATGGTTGAACTAATTTGCACTCCCACCAACAGTGCAAAAGTGTTCCTATTTCTCCACATCCTCTCCAGCATCTGTTGTCTCCAGATTTTTTAATTATTGCCATTCTAACTGGCGTGAGATGGTATCTCAATGTTGTTTTGATTTGCATTTCTCTGATGACCAGTGGTGATGAGCATTTTTTCATATGTTTGTTGGCTTCATGTCTGTCTTTCTTTGTAAAGTATCTTTTCATATCCTTTGCCCACTTTTGAATGGGCTTATTTGTTTTTTTCTTGTAAATCTGTTTTAGTTCTTTGTAAATTCTGGATAT